ACACCTAAATCTCACAGCATTTTGCAGCTGCCTATTCAATACCCACGTTTCGGAGGTCACTTAGTGTGTTCTCTAGAATTTCGTCTACGACGAAACTCAGTAAGTTGAGGTACTTCTGGGCTATACCGTTTCGAAGAAGGGAAAACATTAGAATTTCGCTTGGGCGGTGGTGGTCCGGTGGTAACGTCATCAAATTATCACCTCAGGGGACGTGTATTCGAACCCTATCCCCACCACCTGATTTTCCCATGGTAGCCCTTTGATTGGCCGCTTACCCTTTCATGAAAAATGCATTCTTGAGTATTCAATAACAAGAAGTAAAATTTAATACTTGAATATTCCTACGATAGCATTGTTTTCTCAATAAAATTAAATAAACTGAATCGGTGGCTTCAATAGTCATCCGGCAAATTAATGAGCCGTCACTCTATGCATGAGATGCAAAAGCTATGCAATCCGTAGGTGCAGATATGCTGACGAGTTATCTGAAAAACTGTAAGAGCGATCGTTGGCTTTAAGATAGTGGAGAATGACGGGAACCAATTTACCAATGTGAAGCACTACATGTGGAATCCTCAACTTTTCCAAAATACTATATCATGGTATTCGCGAAATACTGCTACAAAAACTCAAAAACATTGCAATCCGGGGATTCGAATTCGGTTAGATCGACATGTATCATTGATATTATTCCACAAGGATCCGTGCATATTCTTCCTCTTCCCTTCGTTTTAAAAATGATCCATCGAATGTACTGGTACGGAAAAGCTTACCAAATGTAATTTGAAGGTATGAAGACCAAAGAAATAGGCACATTGTGAGCTGTTCGTGCGATGGCAGAGAAAAAGTCTCGTCCAAGTCGAACAATACGCACTAATGTTTGGCATCACCACAGTGTAGATTAGCATCTAAGTCTGCCTTCACCTGAAACGTGCGATCTAAACAAAATTATCACGAGGACTCTACAAACCGCAACACAAAAGAAAACGATTATACGCAATCACGAAAATTATATACATCATATTATGCTTTACAAGGGTCACATTGCGCTGTTTATTGTATTTACAAACCGAACAACAGGACTGGGAAAATATTCTACAACGGAGGAAAACAGGCCACACTTGACCTGTCATAACATAACCATTTTCTTTGGTAAACATCATGTTCCAGTGTCGCAGTACGGAAATCAGGGAAGATTTGATTTTCAACTATTACAGAACCCAATCCATCTATATCATCCTTTGCACATGTTGCCTTCAAACGTCCACCCCAGAGTGAATAATTCAAAACTAGTTTTTTGAAGATGTGGACTGGGATTTCAGCACCACCCACACCCGCGCAAACTCTGCACCTCGCGTTATCGGTGCGTCCACAATTGATTCTTTCAGGCGGGGACTGGTAGGTAGATCTGGCATATCAGTCTACCTCAAAAAGATACGAAACACAGAAAGGATAAAGCTACATGATAGTTCTCATATGCGGTGCTGTGTACAGCATTTCTATTTTTTTTATGGTCGGACGATAGATTAATTTGTGTGACAGAAGAAAAGAAACGATCTCTAAGCTTTACGCCGACAGAACATCTAAGTGAATATTTCTTTTCTCGATGTTAAACCTTCCATCGTTATTTATAACGATGCCACAGATGATCTTCTGTAAAAAGAGTTACTTAATGTAACGAACTTTGGCTTCGAGCTTCTTCCTAGACAGAGCCCTAGACTTAGAGTATACCGATGGCATTGTCTTACTCGATGACAACGCATCGGCGATTCAAAACACGTTGCATCGTTTGGTAATTGAGGATGCTCGTTTTGGTCTGTCCGTTGCATCTTCAAACTGCGGGGTGCTATTGCGAAATCAGCAGGAACCTGTTCCTGTACTTTTGCTGCATAACTATGCTCTGGAAGTAGTCAAAAGCTTTGTTTACCTAGCGAGTTGCGCAACGGTTGACGGAGGTTTGGGCGAGATCTCTCAATCAAGGCTGGATTAACGTTTGCTAATTCACGGTATCTCTGGCGCCGGCACGAAATATCCCTTTCACCCAAAAATACATGTGTATTGCGCAGCGGTACGCGCCGGTTCGCTCTACGGCTGCGACGCTTGGCCTCTACGAGCAGATCATACCCAACGACTATCCGCCTTCGACAACCGCTGTCTGCGAGCATCGACCGTGTATATGGTGGGAGCATATTGTGAGTAACGATGAGGTCAGATGACGTGTGTTGGGATCAGATATCCTACCG